AGGGAAAGCAAATCAGACTCCTAGGTCGGCGGGCATAAAAACGCAGTGCCTGTTCTCCATCTACATTAAGTGGTCACCTTCCAAACCAGAGCACATTTCTTTGAACGCTCTCCAAATATCATCTCATTTATTAATTGTAAGAGATTCTGTGTTGCAGTACCAAAATTCCTATTTTAAGTTGTTACAAAAGCAGGTGCACTAGACGTAGTACAGGCAGGGATGCCAGAAGCAATCCCAGTTACAAGATGCGTATTTGATTTCTGTGGAGCTGATACCTCTGTTGGCTATCATAATCCCCCGTCCAGTTACTTAACTTGATTTGACTTGTGTTTAATGCACACTAACAATTATGGTAAGAGTTTTAGTCCCCAGGCAATTCCAAGCGCTTCTTCTCAGCTGTCCTTTACTTTCCCTATTTATGCAGAATGTTGCATTTTGGAGAAAGTACTCAAACAGAGGATCAGATAATTGTAGTGAATTGTGCCTTGAAGATACCGCTTGTTCTGAAGAAATTAGTTACACTGGTCAAGGTACTAATGTTCCTGAATTGCAAGGAAAAACCTTCAGTGTACAGAATTAGCTATTCTTATCAAATACGTAGATGTGCATCTTACTGTGACTGTTCAGAGGAATCTTTCTTTGCAGCGCGACCTGTGGCAGCAGCAGTACTGTATGGCAGTAATTTCTCTATACTGGCATATAACATTCACCCTTAGGCAGTTAACACTAGGGGGAAAAAAAGGGGGTTTGTTTTCAAGGAACACTGAAAGATCATTAAAGGTGTATAGTCAGGGAAAAATAAGGCTGTGCCCCGAGGCTGCGGCCATGACCGTCCTTTTTATTTACCTACTGATTTAACTTTCCATAGTCCTATATCACCCTGTTTACAAAATTATATATACCATTTCAATTAGAACATTCAGTAAGTGGTGATGTTATACTTCAGCACTGTGCCTCTAGGGAAGGCACTGAGTAGGTGTTTTCTTAGCATCCTAGCTACTAGTGTTGCTAAAATTTCTCATGTTCAACGAGGAGCATGACTGGAATTCAATCACCTTATTTTTATAAGGAAAAGTAGCAAAAGTGTTATTTTGTCCTGAAATTTATTAAAAGAACTAGTGAATCAGAAAGATTCTTATTTTTTATCATTATGAAAACTGAGTTTGAATGTCTTATGCAGAATTTTTTTTTTAAGTTCACATTACTAGAGGGTAAAAAGAGGGGGAGTTAGTATGTGTGTTCTGACCTGTAGTGAAAAGGAAAACATGGTGTTAGCTGAGAGTGGCAGAAATTACCTGTGTATTTCACTCATGCTTGTAAAAGTGCTGTCTTTTAAATAAAGCTTGTTGTGCGTATTTACTGCTCAGTTGCCATCTGCCAATCACTATTACTCAATGCAAATTGCTTTGGGACAGCTTCAGATCATGAAAATAATAAACTGGTGGCACCTTGCTCCAGTGTTAGTGGTATTATGAAATCACTGCAGGTTTTTTTCCTAGTGTATATATTTGAATAATAATGTTCTTGCATTTCTGTTGGCAGTATGGAATGCTACTGTATCAGAATTACAGAATTCCCCAGCAAAGAAAAGCCATGCTTCCACACTTTTCCACTCCAGTAGTAAGTAATGAACTTCACCTCATTTAATGTAAGATGTTGGAAAAGGTACATTTGCTTTTGCATTTTAAAAGTGGAAAATTTTATTCTAAGAAATGTAAATTCAGCATTGTGTAGCAAATCAATGTAAAGTTCGCGTTTCACATGAATACAGTTTACGTGGTTGGCTCTCCATTATCTTAGGCTTACATGATCCACATGATTGAAAAAAAAAATCTTGGATACGTCAGGCACTTTGAGATGTACAGTACAGAGACATCTGGCTGTCTCTGCAGAAGCCAGCTTAGGTCTGGCAAAACTAACACGTAAATTTCCTAAAATATGTTGGGCCAAGAGCTGACTGTTAGCTATCTAAAAGTGAAGATCCTATATTTGGATCCCAACTGGCCCTGAAAATGACTGGAGTATAGTAATAGGGCAAGCGGGCAACTTGAGCAATACAGATTTTATTCTCAGCCTTTGAATCCTCTCCCTCCCTTACGGCCTAAAAAGAAAAGCCATCTATTTTTCTGTCTGCAAACCTTTTGGAAGGTGAAAAAAAAAAAAAGAGAGGTATTTTCTGTGCTGTTGAAGGGTAACTTTGGACAGTCTTGTGAAACCAAAACATTTTGAAATGAAACTCTCAAGCCGGTTTCTTCTTTCCCTGTTTTTTGAAACAAGTGAAAATTCCTTTTCAGAGAAGTGTATCTGAAAACTCACTAGTAGCAATGGATTTTTCGGGGCAAATAGGAAGAGTTATTGAAAATCCTGCTGAAGCACAGAGTGCTGCCTTGGAAGAAGGACATGCTTGGAGGGTAGCTATCTTCTCTTCTTTTCTATTTTTGTCATTAGTAAGTGTCTGTTGAGAGCCAAAACACAGAGTGTGCTATGATGTTAGTGCAGTGCTGGTCACAGTATAGCTTAGCTCCGACCTGAAGCAATCACACTGCAAGCATGCAGATCTGAAAGTCAATATCCATCTTTAGCAAAACTGTCACATTCACAACAACCTTCTACCACTGCTTCTCTGTCCCCCTAGTGTCCAGAGGAAAGTTGAGGGGGAAAGCAGACCCACCAGAACTTTACTGCCAGTTTGCAAAACCAGTCTCTGAGGAGGAATATGTCAAATTAAATGCTTCCCCACATGGAAGAGGCTGGGGCTCTGACTAATGGCTTGCTCCCAGTAAGTTTAATTGCAGAATATACAAGAGGCAGGACCTCTTGCAATGAAAACTGATGTAACTTGTTTATAGTGTCTTGTGGACAGACAGCCGCAGTACAAGTTTTCCCACATGCTCGTCTCTTAGGGAACAGGAGTCATTACTGAAGCACTAGCCGGTGCTTTATGTATGGGAGGGAAATACTGCTTGATTTACTGAGTGCCTGGTGTTTTGCCTGAGGAGAAACATATCAGACTTTTCTTTTTTCTGTCTTTTTTTTTTTCCTTTTTTTTTTAGATACTGAGCTTTCATCATTAACATCTGGCTTGTGTTTTGAGCCAACTGAAATGAGCTGCTGCTTGTAGATTAGCCCCCTTCAAAGTTGCATTTCTTTTCCTCATCCTTGCATTAAACTTGCCCAGCCCCCAGTTTCCTGTAAATTAAATCTGTATTGCATGTGCACTAATTCTCTTCTGTTGAGGCTTTAGTGTGGATTTAACAGTAATTCATTTTCTCTATAGAAACGTAGCACAAGAATGAACATCTTGGGTAGCCAAAGTCCACTCCATCCTTCCACACTGAGTACAGGTAAATTCTGTTGGTTTGTAAGCATAGTATCAGAGGCCTCTGTGAGTAAATAAAAGTTATATTTCATACAGAGAAAGAGAGCAGTCGTGTAATATTAATGCCTCGATGTCAAATACAATGTCTATGTTTATCAGTAGCTTCTGTGTCCTTAATATGCTTACCCATACAGACGTAGTAGAAGGAACTTGTTTTCCTTTGAAGGTGCGCTCAAGCTTTTCTTCAATATTAATCTTTTGAAACACAGATTTTGTAGAATAGAGAATAAATGTTTCCATAAATGTTTCAATTTAAAACAATCCAGAAGTCAATTCTTCGTTTTAGACAAGGAAAGTCAATGAGTGATGTGTTAATCTTTAAAGAGTAAAAATGAGAGTCTTCAAAACAGCATTTATTCCATAATAACTGAATAATGTAAAATACAGATGCCTGTAATGTGAGTCCTGAACATCTCTTTGAGGTTGTAAGTTTATTAAAATAATAGGAACTTGCGTATTAATATCCTGGAGTTCTTAGAGGAAACACAGCTGTACTGTTTCTATTCTGTGTTTCTACTCTGTTGACCAGAATTTAAATATACCATTTGAAAAACAATAAAACAATAAACATAAAAATATTTGGGGTAAGTCCACCCTTGAAAGCACAACCTAAAGCGCTTTTCGTTCTTTGAGAGGGACTTGGTTCTAGCTCGTTAGTTTATACATTGTATTCTGAAAATTGTTTAGTCCCAACATTTTCAAGAAGCTATGAAAAGGCAACATTATAAGAGATTTCTCTCGTTAACCTAATCGTACATCTGCAAATCTGAAATTACATAGAGATAATGCCTATCAACTTGGTATATTAAGTAGATGCATCAGCTGGTGCATTTTTTTTCATATTGATTCATATTTTACATAGATCGATGAAAGATATTTTATATTCTGTAACAAAACTATACCCACTTTTAAAATGTTTAAATAATTAATGTGTGGAAAAAACTGTTGCACATGTTACTGTTTTTAACCATCCTCTCTTTTCCTCTTTTCCCTCTCACCTCCAGTTATTCACAGGACACAGCACTGGTTTCACGGCAGAATCTCTAGAGAAGAATCTCACAGGATTATTAAGCAACAAGGGCTTGTAGATGGGTAGGTATTCCTGTTGCTTAGTATTTATGATCTGATGGTAAGCGTTATAGACAAGAGCACAACTTCTGCTGTAAGGGTTTACAGGTTTGTGAGCATTTCTGAGTAACCTGATTCTTGAGTAGTCCCATTATAACCTGCCTGGATTTCAAAAAGTCAGAGTATGTGTTTATAGGAGTGAGTTCTAATTCTTAATTTGAAAAATAGAATATTAAGAATACTTTTTTATTTTTTCCAACAGAGGCAATCAAGTTTTAGAGAATGTTAGAATTTGAAAATAATCGATTCCTGTAATCTGCATTGAGGATATATTTTTCAGGCAAAACTGTACCTAGCCATTTGCCTGCAAATGTATAGTCAGCCATTTGTGCTCTTTTACATGAATCAGAGCAGTTAATGATGATTTCTCACTATTTACTTCTGTTCTAGAGCAAAGAAATGAAAGTACCTGTTCCAGCGCTCTCTAAAATGTCTGTAGTTGAGATTTAAGTATGTTCTAAGCATCTCATGTTTCCCTTATTTATTTGTAGTTATGGTTATTTAAGGGAAGTTGCTTAAACTGCTTTCAGCAGTCCTTTATTTGTAGGGTTGGAAGAGCATGGTTGCCTTCAGTTCACTAATCTCACTGCTGTCTGTGTTAATTAAAGATAGAAACTTCCGTGTTGGCTTCTCAGGAGACAGTCAAATTCAAACCTTTCTTTGTCATTTTCAGATTGAGGAGCATCACTAATCTTTGTGAAGAAGAAATACATTAGAGAAATAGAAATTGCTAGTGCATATACATATTCATCAAACAGTGTTTTTTATTGTTTAGGGATTTTTTGCTGGGCTAAGGCTATTGGGTTTTAGCTTAGCAGGTCAAACAGAGAAGAGAGGCTGAGAAAGCAAAGGAGCACCACTGACTTGCTCGGTTTCTGGTTCTCTCACACTACAGATCTTCTTTACAGTCTTGGGCTTATTTTGATTTGTTGCCTTAGGAATTTAGTGGCCCACCCTTCTTGGGGTTTTCATAAATGTGTTAATGCCTTTGAGGCGGTGTTAAATTTGTGCCTAGCTAGCTTACTCACTGTGGAAGGTGAAGATTGATTAATGTGGCTATAGCAAGGTCAGTCAGCAGTGGCAAAAGAACCATGTTACCTATGTGCTCTGAGATCTAAGGATCATGGTTTTCAGGACAGAAAAGCCTTGTCTGTGTTTTCCTGCTCTGTGTGCTGTTGAACAAAAGAAGGTAGAAGGTTAACAGTCTTCTGATGGCTCATGTGAGATGTTCAGCAATGTATGTATGCAGCTGATACTGCTATCAAGTGACTGTTTCTGGAAGCTATTGTTGAGGATGCATCTATTGTTATAGTTGCTGTTTGTGTGAACAGCCTGTTGCTTGCCAGAGGTTGGGTAATAAACACTTGTAGGATCAGTTATGCTGATCTTTGCTTTGTGCCACCAGCTTATGATACCGTGCATTGTCTGAAACGGCTAGGTGAAAGATAACACAGACATACCTGCATGAACAGGGCAGGGAAGATCTTTCTGCCCGAGATGGATTCTAATGTGTTAAGTCTTTGGTCCCTTTTCCACTCATCTGGTTTTGCTAGGACTAGAAAGGAATGCTCAAATACCATGCATGGTTTCCGGTGGTGGCAAGACATGCCTGTCTCTGAGTATGGGACTGACCCTGGTTATGATGGTGCGTTTTTGTGGTATTGACATTTCTCAATTGGTTCTGAGGAGCTGGAGTAAGTTCTTTTGGGTTCGTAAGACTACAAGCAGTTCTTGCAACTCAGCCTTGGAAAAGTGTGTTCCTGGCTTAGTGGTTAGCAATTAAGAGGGCTTGAAGCCTGCCCTGGTACTGTGCTTGGCCATCTCACAAATCCACTAGTGATTAGCACTGTGAGCCTTATGCCAAAGGTATATTCTTGTTTCCTGTGGCATGGAGAGGTTCTCCTTCCTTAGTTCATAAATGTCAAGGGGAGGAAACATTTTTTTTACTAGATTTTTTTTCTCCTCTTCTAAGTATGTATTTAACCATTTGAGTTAGGACTTCAGTTTTGTGGGTCAACTTAAAAGTGACAATTACATAGTGTGTGATGTTGCTAGCCATACTCCTAACGTATCTTCTTTTCCAGTGATACTGAGGGAAAATCCTGTGACTGTTTTAAAGGAAAAAATCAGTGTGTGTTTGCCCCATTTTGATAATGTGGATGCTACCTAACTGATAAGTCATTTTAAGAAAGTATTGAGCTGTTTCTGTGCAATTGCAGCCATTTAAACATAATTTTGCTAACACCGGATTTCTGTAAACTGATGCAAGATACTGGAGAGTGGGAACAGATTCTCGTGTATTACTTTCCAATCTACAGAAATACAGATTTGCTTTGGAGTTAAATGAGAACATTTTCTTCATGAGAGTACATAACAGTAATGGAAAGCTCCGTTAGAGAGACCTTTTAAAAAAAAGCCTC